AGGAGCTGCACTTTAAAGGGACAGAGCTCGGGAGTCTTGGCTCGGGAAAGGCTGGTGCAGGGATAGCTTGCAGCCAGCAACTGTCATGAATCTCTGAGGGTAACTAGAATCTATCCTAGAGGGACAGAAGGAAGTTATGGGGAGGGAGAAGGGTGGGGTAATTTTCAGGGGTAGGATGACAGGAGGGTGCCGCCAAGTGTGGGTGAACAAGGGCTGGGTGCTGAGGGAGGTTCTGAGGTTTCTAGCCTGGCTGAGAAAGTGTTATATAACCAGTTTGGATGGGGATTGGGAAGGCCGTGATTGAGGGAGGACACTACATCTAGAACATCTGTGTGGGTATGCCCGCAGCACCCAGAGACGTGCTTCTCAAGAGTAGGAGAGAGGCTGAGGTTAGAAGGGCTGAACCAGAGAGGAACGAATGGGAAGCACCAGCAAACTGAATGATCTCTATAGATGTGAGCACAGGGCTGGGGGAAGTCTGTTTCCACAGACCTGGGACCTGTTGCTTCCTTTTTGACTGTTCACTTTCAAGTCATTAGCATAGGAAGGAGAAGGCATTTTAAAGATAGTCCCTAAACATTGAGCGTGTGACTCGAATAGCCTTAAAACCTGATCTACAGGTGAGCAGGACAAGAGGTCACAAGTTTCACACCAACAGGGACAGTGAAGTGAAGCTGTCCCAAGCAGCAACCACAGCCTTTATCCCAGGTGGCAGAAACTCTAAGAATTGCAGGTCAAGGAAGCAGAGGAAAAGGAGCACACAGTTACCATTACCACTGTGTGCAGTGACTCCAGAATAGAAGGAGAGGACTAGAAAGTGTCGGGTGATCGGAGGGCTGTTGCTACATCCTAATGGTGCAGGGCTTCTCTGAGACAAAGGGGAAGAAGTGAAATTCCCTGGTGTTGACACGGGACAGGATGGAGCAGTTACAACCTGTCTTGCAGTCTTCTGGGGAAGGTGCTGTGGCTAAAGATGCTGGCTTAAAAGAACAGAAGAGACAGTTGCTCTGATGGTGACATCAGAGTGTTTGGAAAGAAGGAAGAAGGAATTAAGTTGACCCCGTCGGGTGTTGAGGCTTGCATCAGAACACTTGCTTGTTTCCTTTTGGTCAGTGGCCTTTAGGGTCATTTACCTTCTTGAAACTTCAGTTTCTGTGTAAATAAGGGGCACCAGTTCTTCATGGTTGTTGAGAATTCTAGTACCATGAACATAGAGCAGAGATTCCTAGAGGGAAGCCTCGGGAACCAGCTGGGTGAGCAGAGTTTAGCAAGGGAACCTGGGGGCGCCAGTGTGGTGAGCAGGGGGAACCTTGAGGAGTGAGCATGATGAGCCGAGAGACTCCGGGGAGCTGGCAGGGTGAGGTAAATCTATGGAGGAATGGGTTAGTTGTTTCTTGAGACTCGAGCGGCTCAACCTTGCAGCAGCCGCAGAAGAGAAAACAAGTGGCCGTGAATGCGCAGCACTGGTGTCAGAGCTGGGACTTAAACCCTGGTCCACAGAGTCCAGGCCCCTGATTAGAACCACTTCTCCACCCGAGGGGCTGCAGAGACAGGGTGATCATACAGTCACACCAGAGGCTCAGGATGTCCTCATGCGTCCCAGCTGTTCATGTTCTGAGAAAGATCCCAAGAGGGAAGGTCACTGGGGTGGACTGTCACTTGGACCTCTTGACTCCTATCCATCATCTGATCTATTCTTGAGTCGCTGTGGACTGGAATGGGCTCCTTCAGATCCTCGTCTGTAGTAGTGCCTGCGTCATGTGGTCAGAACCTTTCTCCTTGAGAAAGTGTGTGCCGTCCAAGAGCAGTGTAGCCTTGTGCTGGGATTGCTGGACACAGATACCTTCAGCATGTTCTTTCTTGCTTTTTTGGAGACAGAATCTTGCTATGTAGCCTGACTGACATTGAATTTAGATCAGTTCTCCTGCCTCAGAATCCAGAATTGAATTATAGATTTGAGCCCTGGAATGGTTTGAATAAGATGTCCTTCATAGCCTTGGACATTGGAGTACTTGATCCCCAGTGGGTAGCACTATTTGGGAAGCTCAGGAGGTGTGGCCTTGTTGGAGGAAGCATGGCACTGGGGCAGCTTTGGAAGTGTGAAGGTTCACACCATTTCTAGTTCACTCTCTGCGTCATGCTTGCGGTTCAAAATATAAGCCCTGTTTCTTCTATTAGTTGCCTTGGTCATGGTGTTTTCTTCTGGAAATAGAAAAGTCACTTAAGCCTCCATACTTAGGTCAGGTGCAGTTTTGGGGAGACAGACAGTTCACTAGCATATTAAGATCCCAGTTTCAGCCACGCATCGTGGCATGCAGTGTAGTTGCAGCGCTGAGGAGCAGGATAGTGAGTTTGCAGCCAACCTGGGCTATAGAGTTCTAAGCTAGTCAGGGCTACCTAGCTAGCACACATTGTCTCAGCACACACAGAGAGGGAGGTGGGACAGACGGGGGTCAGACAGACTGACACACTAAAGTTCCTGTGCCCTGCTGAGCTAGCTTTTCCAATGCAGAGGCTTCTCTCCTGTTGACAGATTTGCAGGCTGTATTTTCTGTGAGGGCAGAGATTCTTTCCCTCCACAGACCTCCATCCTACATAAGCTCCTCTCCTTTCTTCCTGCCCACAGCCTTCCCTGGCATCTCTCTGGTGTTGGCATCTGCTTCCCTTTCTTCATTGATGGCTGGCATGAATGAGTGGCTGTCTGAAGGCCTTCATTGTCAGCTCCCCCAGCAAGCAGCCAGAACCTTCTCTGGCTTGGGTTTTGAGCCCTACTGATTCGGTGAGCCAAGAAGTCTCCCAGTGCTGGGCTGTGGAGTTCTCCTTCTGTTGCCCCTTCACCACTCACAAATGGTTCCCTAAGAGCCTGGAAGCTGATGTGGAGGAGCAGAGGCATGTGTCCTGCACCCAGGCCCCTTCCTAAATATCAACAAGGGTAACAGACGACAGACCCATCCACCTCTCCAAGGAAAACACTGTTACCCTGAACCTCCATTAGGTGGTCACGTGTTGTCTTCTTTGTAGCCTCATATAGTCAGCAGGCAGCTTTGGCCTGGTGCTCATTCTTATAGTGTGTGTGCGGCTGTAAAGTCATGGCTTCCTCAGGCCCCAGTTAAACTGAATGGAACTCCTCTTCTCTGTTTTCTCTACCTGGAGAACTCATTCAGGTTGTTCTCACCTTTTTCACGGCGCAGGACCTGCCCTGTAAAGAGTATAGGATTAGTGAATGGAGGGTGTGAACTCCAGAGTGGTCAGATGTAAAGAAGGGAGGCACCGCAGTTCATACTTCTGAGTTCCCATGGATTAGTGATCAGAGCCTGTAATGAATGAGTTGGCTGCTCCTCTGCCCTGCAGACCTGCCCAGAGCTGAGCCGTGAGGGCGCCTGGAGGGAGCTGGTTGTTGGGGCCTGTAGAGACTCTCAGAAGAACCAGCACTGTGAGACCCTAGCATGCCCCTCATGTATGTGACACGCTGGTCATCTGCACCCCTTCTCCCCAGCTTCCTTCCCTGTGTTGTATACTGAGCCTCTTCAAGGACCTTGCAGCTGCCAGTGGGAAAGCAAGAAAGTGTGGAGTGGGAGCTGCGCTCTGCAGCAGCAGAGGCACAGGCAGCACTGTATAGCATCCAAGGGACCGGTCCCATCTCCGATTGTGGGGACTGGGATTCTCATCACTGTCATGGCGGCTGAGGGATTTTTAAGCATCAAGTAGCCCAGCCAGAGTCTCAGCAAGATGTCTGACCACACAGCTGGAGAGGAGCAGAGCCAGTTCTTCCTCTGGGTGAACCTCTGCCCAACCACCCTGGGCAGAGTGTGCCGTGCCTGGGGCCACAGATTACTCGTCCGTGAAAACACCGGCACCACACACTGCTCTGTGGCGCTCCAGCCCATGAACAGTTCTTGGGTTGTTTGGACAGATCAGGGAATTCTTTGGTTCCATGCCATGGAAGTGGCATAGGTGCCACTTGTGTGCGTGTAGACGATGTGCTTTGGAATGTGGTTTACTGCCGGGTGTGGTGTTGCCTCAGCTGAGAGTGCAGGTGAAAATCTGCTATAGGACTGAGTTCCCACCGGGTGCCCCAGGGTGGTGCTGACGTGAGACGTGGACTCAGCTGCTGATTTACACCACTTCGTGGCAGAAGTTTCTGAGAGTGTGGCAGTAGTTGGCCTCGGGAACTAGCGGTGTCAGATTTCTAGGGTATAAGGGAGGTCTCCCGGGAGCAGCAGCTGTCTCCTGGTTTGACAAACTAGACTGTTTCCTTTTCTAGTGGATCAGCTAAGGTTAAACTTAAACAAATATGAGCGAGCAGCTGGGAGGCCTTGGCAGGAGTGAGGTGCACACATTCTCAAAAAGAAAAAAGGGGGAAAGTCTGTTCCTGCGGAAGGACGAGGCGTGGATGTGGATCTGAGAGGCCTGGAGGAGAAAGGAAGCAGTTACTTCCCCCTCCGTTTTGTTTTGCACTTTCAGTTAAGGAATTCCAGAAGTTGCAGGTTGTGATCGTGACCTCCCTTTTCCCTTGCAGCTGCTTGCCAGAGGAAGGGCGGGCGGGTGGCTCTAAATAACACTGGCCTTCATGGAAATGTATCCAGTGTCCCAGGAGCCGCTCTCTCTGGCTGGCGCACTCTCGCTCCCGGTCCCTTGTTCTGTCCTTACTCTGTCCTTATGTGTGTCCTTTCTGTCTGTAGTTAGCGCTTCTCCTGGCCTTATATAGCAAGGTCTGGTCCGTAATGTTAACAGAGGTCTAACAGGAGGATGGCTGCCAGGCAGCATTAATCAGACCAGTGTTTGGAATTTCATAAATGCTCTGACTTTGGGTACAAATTGAACATGAACAATATGAAACTGTTTTCCTCCCTCCTCTCTTCTGTTCTCTCCCTCCCCTCAGCCTACCCAGCCTCGCTCTTCCTCTCTGTTGTGAACTCTGCTCTGCCATCACGCGCTGCATCAGAACTCTGTTGATTCTTACCACGTTTAATTTTTTATTTCTCTTTGTCCACTCCAAGACCACAGGCGGAGCAGCGGCAGCCGGAGCCAGGACTCTGTGGAGGGGCAGGACGGGCAGGTCCCGGAGCAGTTCTCGGGCCTCCTCCACGGCTCCTCCCCAGTGTGTGAGGTGGGGCAGGACCCTTTCCAGCTGCTTACTGCCCCCAGCCAGAACCACCCAGGGTCCCCCCAGCAGGACGCCTGCCACGAGGCCAGCATGCAGCTAGAGGAACCGGGCGTGCAAGGCACTGGAAACCCACAGCCCGGCGTCCTGGACCAAAGCAAGAGAGTGGGCTTCCCAGCAGGCTTGAGTGCCTCAGCCGGCCGAGCACACCTCCAGACTCTGACTCACACAGTCGCTCTGCACCCTGCTGGGGCTGAGGAAGAGGAGGACAGGAGCGGGGCCAGAAGCCGAGCCCCTCCCACTAGCAAGCCCAAGGCTGAGCTTAAGCTCAGCCGCAGTTTGTCAAAGTCTGACTCTGACCTCCTGACCTGCTCCCCCACGGAGGACACCACGATGGGGAGTCGCAGCGAGTCTTTGTCCAACTGCAGCCTCGGAAAGAAGAGACTGGAGAAGTCACCTTCGTTTGCCTCTGAGTGGGACGAGGTAAGGCTGCTGTGATGTCACAGAGAATTTGGGCTGGCCCACCTGGCTGTAGCTGGAGTACACTCCAGCTCCCCGTGTACTGGCTTCTGGGACCAGGATCTGTGCCAGGGCTGCCCCGTCCCTGAGCACTGTGCTAAGAGTATCTCTGGTGATAGTTACTACGGCAAGCTCCAAGAAGCCCGGGTACCAAAGGACATGTCCCCGAATGGTTAAACCTGAGAGTGGAGGCCCGGCAGGGCAGGGCAGGGCTGAGGGAGGGACGGTTCCTAGAAATGACATGTGTTTGGAAACATTTGGAGCCCCTCCGCCCCGTCTCACTCTGAAGTTACTTCAGAAGGGCCCCTGGCACTGGTTGCATGTCCTTGGAGAGGCTGAGGGAAGAGCAAGCTTAGCAGGGCAGCAGGTGGGGATAGCCGGGAGTGCTGGGAAGAAGCTGTGGAGAGGGGTTCCAGGGACGATGTTCTATTCTGGGTTCCTCCTGGCTATTCTTGCCATGTTCTTGCAACCCAGAAGCCTCTCCCAGCAGATGCACGCAGCCCGTCCCACATTCCCAGCTCGGTTAGGCAGAGCCTTTGGAGGCTCAAGAATCAAAGATTGGTGAGGAGAAAGCATTTCTGGTGTGAGACCTAGGGTTCTTCTTAACCACTGTTACTAAACATTTGGAGGTAGAACCGATTATTTCCCAGAGACTTTTAGAGTGCTCTACTAGGCAAAAGAACATGTGTCTGAATGATTGGCAAATACCCTAGGAATGTTAAAATACCCGCCTTACAGTCTGTTTGCTGGGACGGAGCTGCCTTTGAAGTGGACTCAGCCTGTCTCCCAGGAACAATCTTGGGATGCATTAAACTCTTTAAAAGGAGGGTGCAGTACAGCTGCCATGTGCCTGTGAACAGTCTGTAGCCCTTATGCCCAACCCAGCTTGATGGTGTCGCTACTGCAAAGTTACATAAACCAAAGCCCATCCCATTCCCAGTGTGGGACAGGGCAGGGCAACTCCTTCTGCTCCTTATCTCCAGATAAGACCAGGCTTAGGACTGTTTAGACACCCAGGAATCCCTGTGCAAATGATTTTTCATTGCTTAATCAAAACCTTGGTGGACCTGTTCCAGAAGGTGCCAGGCTTTAGAGGGAAGTCAGTGTGTGAGGTTGCTCCTGGGTGCCCCAGATTACATTGGAGAGTATGTGTGTAAGAAGATGTCCCTCGCTGGGTGGTGCTAGGACTTGGGAGGCAGAAGCAGGTGGATATCTGTGAGTTTGAGGCCAGTCCAGTCTACAGAGCAAGTTCCAGGGCAGGCTCCAAAGTTAGAGAAACACTGTTTCCAAAAAAAAAAAAAAAAAGGATGTCCCTCAGAACATCTTTAGGGTGATGGCCAGACATGGTGGAGCGGTAAAGTCAGTAGAGTGTGGGAAGGAGCTTCCAGAAGGACCATGGAGAAGTGGAATTAGACTGGAATCAAGGAGCTAATAACTCCTTTGGTTCAAAGCAGACTGAGGCTAGCACATGAAGAGATAGTTTGCTGGAGCTAGGAAAAGAGGGCATTGGGTTCCTGGAGTGTGCAGGTGTGTGTGTGGGGCTTGGGACCAGACAAAGAGAGGCCCTGAAGGTGAGGCGAGAGCAGTATGGCGGGATCTGCTAGAAGGTGGCTTGGCTGACTGACTTCGTCTTCATGGCTCCCTGGCCTAGGCGTCCTCATCCTAAGATCCTAATGCTGGGCAAGCACACTGCACTCAGGTGTGGCGCTGCCAGGCAGCCGCATGTATTCTCACCTTGTATTTCCTCCTGGAGAACAAGCCAGATCACTATGGCGGTGCCAGCCTGAGTGAAGCTGGCCACTTAGACCTATACAAAGTTTCTCTGCTTTATAATGTGATAAGGTTTTTGTGCTGTTACACCTTTACAGACACACACTCTTTTTTCCAAGATGGGTTCTACTATGTGGCATAGGCTGGCCTCAAATTTAAGATTTGCTTCCTGGCCACGACCCTTGACTGCTTGACTGTTCGGATCACTGATGTGAACCACCACGCTGGGCTCTGGACTTCTGCAGTAAGTCTAAAGCACCAGAAGCACTACTGTGCTTCTCAGGTTTGTTTGATTGATTGTTGGTCCCATTGTGTAACCTAGCCTGGCCTTAAGCTTGCAGTCCTGGGGTTGTAGATATGCACCACTGTGCCAGACTGCACTGCTGTATCTTAAATCTGAGAAAATGTGAAGATAGTTGAGCCACTATGAAAGATTTGAGCCCTGCTCGCAAAATCAGAGGCATGCTGTGGGTAGTCCAGCATCCGCGTGCTATTCTGGGGTCGGACCCACATTGTGTGGTCCTGTGACCAGCCTGTGCAGTGTTGGGGATGGAACCCATATGCTAGGTTCTGTACCCCTGAGCTATACATCCCCAGCCTCTCGGCATTGCTTTTGAGCCATAATTTGCTTGTTTTTGTGGATTCCTCTCTCTGAAAAAATTTCAGAAGTTGTCTGCTGGACTAGTCCTGAACCCAAGCCTCTGGTGGGCTGTCGCATATGAGGGCCTTGGTGCTGACTGTGCCCACCCCACCCTAGGCAGGGCGTTGAGGCTGCATCATCGCATCCTGTGCGTGCTTAGCTTTTCCTCGGTGAACTTTGGGTCCGCAGTCTTGGGTAAGCAGCTCTGAAGAAGACAGGGCACAGCGCCTCCTCACTGAGGCCTGTGAGGGAGAGGAAAAGGTCCAGGGCAGCTGTGGCATAGCACTGAGGAGTTGCAGTGACTCTGGCTGGCGCTTCTAGAAGACAGTGCGATGTGAAGACATTTTGAACCGCTGTGAATTTGACTCGAAAGCCATTACCACCATCCACTTCACATCCCGTGGATGTTTTCTGCATTCTCAGGGTTATTCTTTATTGTGGAACAGCCCCAAGTAGGGACACATAGAAGTACCTAACACACTTCCTGGTGTGCCCAAGGAGGTAGCTATATGGCAGAATCTAGTATTATCACTTACTGGAGCTTTGGAGAAACAGAACTGAATCTAGACTGTCTTCTGTACCGTCCATACTACTACATGTACAACGGTCCTGTAGCGCCTGTACTTTGTGTACTACGATACTATGCCTGTAGTACCGCCTGTACTACAGGACGGTGGTTCGCGAGTCGGGCAAGGGACTAGAGATTGAAACACACACACATACACACACATGCACACACACACACACACACACGACAGAGACACGGGTCATCCTTGAAACAAGAATGCCAACTTTATTGGGTTCCAGGGCAGCTTACATAGTGCCTTCCCTGACCAATGGCCACACCCTAGCTCTCAGGATCCTTCAGCTGCAAGCCACCAGAAACCACCCCCCTGCCATTAGGGTCTCGTGCTCAGAGTAGCTACAAGCATAGGTTGTTCAGAGCAGCTGCAAGCACAGGAAAACAAACTGTTTACTTTGGCAGGCAAAGGGTCATAGAAAATTCAGGGTCTGAGAGTCCACAGTCCTCAACAGTTTTCAACCTTAGGAAAGGCAGCCCTCTTTATAGGTGATCCTCAGGTGGTGGCCAAGTGACTGGCAAGCAGTGGAGTTCAAGCCCTTCATGTGACCCTCTTCCCATGTGGCTCGCCATCACCACCACCACCACCACCACCGAGAGAGGGAGTGTACACTGGCCTGGTAGAGCCAGGCAGACATCCTTAGGTCTTGGAGGGGCTGTGAACTTCCGTCTCTTCCTAGAGAAGATGGGAGAGAACTCAGCCCCCAAATGCATGGGTCCACCGAATGCATCTTATGTACTGTGACCAGCAGAGCTGGTTGACGGATGGCCGAGGTGTTCTGCCTGAGAGCATGCTTAGCCCAGAGGTTTGGGGTCATGCTCTTTACTGCTGGTGATGCAGCCCTTGGTGAACTGCCCTGGGCAAGATGCCTTCTGAGTGCTGGCCTGGTGAAGATCAGCCTGCAACAGAGCATCCCGTAAGGACACTAGCCTTTTTCTTATGTCCTACTAGAGTCTTGCTAATGGAGAAGTAATGGAGTTTGCTTACTAAAGAGCTCTGCCTAAGAGGGCCCTTTGATGCCAGACTCCAGATGTTATCTGAGTTCTCCAGTCAAGTTCGAGCATGACTCCTGCAGCTCACTGGCGGGTAAACTGAGAAGCTGTGTATCAAGGACAGGAAAAAACCACATATACCTCCCACATAGGTAACCTATGTGAATATTTGTTACATAGCCAAATTTGACTTGTATGTTTACCAATTTATAATTTACTTTTCTTACCCAATAACTGCACATTGTAGATACCTTTCCATGACAAGGTAGAATTTAGAGCTGAAGTCAATATTGTCCCCTGCCCTTGTATGTGTGTTGCTAGGAATCTACCCCAGGACCCATGTGTGCTAGTCCAATGCTCTGCCATCGGGTTGTCTCAATGGATCCTAAGGTTCAGTGTTGCTTGTTTAGCTGCACTAGCATTGCTGGGCTTCCAAGATGCTATACCCACTACGCCCTCCTACCTTTCAAGTCCGTTCCCTTCCATCAACATTGTTAACCTGCCTGTATGTTCTACATTGAAGTCCCAGGGAGAGTGGGGCTGGTTGTGTCCCTCTGGTAAAGGGGGCCATTCCTATGAGGGGCCTTTTCCAGGAGCAGGTGTGTCCAGGTTCTAGTCCCTCTACCTTTGAGCATGGGTTCCCCACTCTGACTTGTCACTATCCCTGAAGCTTAATATTGGCGCTCTTTGTACAAATACATGCTGGCTTTTTTGTTGTTGTTTGAGCATCTCATTCACAGTAGTCCTTCTGCTAGACTGTGCCTGTGAGGTCCTAGGATTACAGATGTGTGCCACTATGCCCAGCAATAATGCCATTATCAAGTCTCCTCAGTGGAACGAGACATCTTTCTCAAGTGGGGACCTTATTTGTATCACCTCTAAGCAAGTGTAGATGGCTTGTGCTGAGCACAGCTCTGGCAAACTGATTTTTGTGTGCAGTGCTTGAGTGTTCAGGACGCTGAGAGATGGCGAGTGGGAGGG